GGCCTTGTGCGTGGGCTGAGCGATTCATCGGCCAGAGATCGGCAGCGGAGCTGGGGAAGGGTCTGGTGTGTCCTATGAAGAGCGGCTGAGGGAGCTGGGGCCGCTCAGCCTGGAGAAGAGGAGTCTCGGGGGGGCTTTATCACGTTGTCCAAGCACCTGAGATTGTAACCATGTGCCGGTAGGACTCGTCTCCTAGGCAACCAGCGACAGGACAAGAGCGCTCAGTCTTAAGATATGCCATGGAAGGTTTAGGTTGGGCATTGCAAGGAATTTCTTCACTGAAAGGGTTATTAGACATTGGAATGGGATGCCCAGGGAGGTGGTGGAGTCACCATCCCTGGAGGTATTTAAAGAAACACTGAATGTGGCACTCAGTGCCATCCTGTGATTGACAAGGTGGTGATCAGTGACAGGTTGGACCCGATGACCTCAGAGATCTTTTCCAAGCTAATTGATTCTGTGACTACAAACTTTGGCAGAGCAGGAGCTTGGCATTCCCTCCAGGGAGAGAGGGAAGGGGGAGCGAGGCACTCCCCAGAGGAATCCATGAACTTACACAGTGCTAAAATGGGAAGTTTCAGTGAAAGTGCCCAGACCTGCAGGAATCAACATCTCTCCTTCAGTACAGTATATTCCAGGTGTTTGTGTGCTCCTCAGTTGGTGGAAAGTGGCTGCAGAACAAGAAATTGCTGTTCACAGCACAGATATGTGGCTGTTCTTCACATCTCCTGTTCCATGTCTGTCACAGGTGTTTGTTTCATCTCTGAACAGGTTGCACTTGTGCTTAGTAACTGAACATTAAGGAGCTGTAACACAGCTGAGTGCCAGGAGCAGAGCCCACCTGGTGCTCTGACTTTATTCTCTCCAGTTTTACAGGCCAGGTGGGAGAAATCCCTTTCTGTTGTCCAGACAGATATTTCACTGACAAACTTCAGAGGAAACTAAGCTGAACCCTAAGACCCCTCAAGTGCTCTCTGTAGTGGAATTGAGCTGCTCTCCCCTCACTCTCAGCTTGCTGGGGAATCAGTGTGGCAGCCACTCCATGTTCTGTGCAGTCTGCAGTGACCTGCACAGAGGCACCTGGCAATGTAGATCCACACACTGCATCTCCCAGGACACCAGGAGCTGCTCTGGGGCCATTGGTTTCCTTCTCAGCATAGGTTGGTGGGGTGTGAGCTGCTCCAGGGTGAGCCAGGCCTTGCTTCTTTCAGTCACTGTGAAAGTGCCATGTCCCTGAAATGTGACGTCTGAGCACCCAGACAGGGTTATGTGCTTGACGCAGTTAAATTGAGAGGTGCTGCAGCTGTGTGTTTGTCTTGACCTGGTTGTATCTTACTGAAGGCCTCTCATTGCAAGAGCATCTTATTTAAATATCTGATAATGCTGCCACCTGTTAGCAGCTGAATAAGCCATTTATGTAAAAGAGAATAATTGTTGTTGAAGTGCAGCTTGTTGAAATTATTTTGTGGGTGTTTCAAGTCCAGAAAAGGCCATGAAGAAGATCAGGGGTCTGGAGTAATTGCCCTGTGGAGACAGACAGAGAGCTGGGGCTGTTCAGCCTGGAGAAGAGAAGGTTGAATGGGGACATCACAGCATCTTCCACGATCTGAAGGGGCTGCAGGGAAGCTGGAGAGGGACTGGACTCTTCATCAGGAACTGTAGTGACAGGACAAGGGAGAACGGGTTCAAACTGAAAAAGGGGACATTTAGATTAGATACTAGGAAAAAATTCCTCCCTGTAGGGGTGGTGAGGCCCTGGCTCAGGTTGCCCAGAGAATCTGTGGCTGCCCCTGGATCCCTGGAAGTGTCCAAGGCCGGGTTGGATGGGACTTGGAGCAATCTGGGCTGGTGGAAGGTGACCCTGACCATTGCAGGGGGTGGAACAAGATGATCTTTGAGGTTCCTTCCACCCAGGCCCTTCTGTGTTGAATGTGCAGCTGTGTGTACCACTCATGATCAGTAACAGGTTAAAGTGCTGCCTCAGAGGATCCTTGGCTTAAACACAGCACTGACTGCAGATGGATCTGAACTGGAGCTGGCTGACTGCTGTCAGCATGTTTGTAGGGGGAATCTGTGGGGCCCCAACACATGCATGAGATGGAATAATAAATAGCAAATAATCCTGTGCCCTGACTGTGGTCACTTACTTAATTTTGTTGTTCTTAAGTTCATTATACTTGCTGCAATTATTCTGTATAAGCCTAAAACTTGTGTTAGTCTAAACTGGAAGATCCCAGCAGCAACCTTCTGTCTGTCTCTCACCCTGGAAACAAGTGTGGTGGGAAATGTGGGCTCTACATATGTTTGTGGGAGAGCAGTGTCCTACATTTTTGTGCAATGAGTTGTTTGCTGCCTGTTGAATATGATTTTTTCCCATTAGTGTTTGTGGGATGAAAAGGGATGTTGGAGGGCTAAAATATTTCCTTCCCCTGTGAAAGTACTTGATTTAATAGAGTTCTGTAGAGGCTGGGTGAGAGAGCAGGTGGTCTTCTGTTGTACAGAACTAAATTGTCACTGATGACTTGTTGCCAAATGTCACTGGAAATGCTGTTCATCACTCAGATGATGAATGTTTGCCCCACCACCCAAGCAATCTGTGATGGAACTTCCTGGTTGAGAGGCAGGGGAAAATGAAAAGGCCTAATATTTCTCTGGAGGTGATGGCAGAGCTTTCACTAAGGGTGTTTGGTGTTATATTTGCCTGGGCTGTACTGATGTGGTACAGCTTTTGTCCTGGCTTTGGCCTTTTTGGAGTATTCCTTTTGCTGTAAGGGAATGAGGGAGTGGAGGAAAGAAATTCAGCCATAGTTCTTACTTTATGGGTTGATCATCCCCATAACTTCAGGACAAGGAAGACTTTCCTGATTAAAGGAAAGTAGCTGCATTCCTCAGAGCCACTGGGATGTGAGATAATATAAGACTAGAAAACCTGGAATATCTTTGAAAGGAATTACTTTACATTGCTTTCAGTGTTTATTGCTGGACTTGCATGGATTTTTTGTGGACTCTGAAATATTTATGATTTATGAAGAATTACTTTTTCAAGGCAGTGCTGGGACTTTGAGTTGCTCTGTCCTGCATCTTCTGCACCACATCTCAAGTGGATTGGTGGCTCTTAGGTGAGGACTGATCTTTCCAGTTGCTCCCAGGCAGAGTGGCTTTTCTATGGCATTTTGGAGTGAGTAAGAGAGATGTTTGCTCCACTTTTGAATAGTGGGGTCAGAAAATAAGCAGAGCTGCTTGTACTTTGGACTAAAATGAATTTCTCTCAGACCATCCTTAAGTTTTGTTCTTACTGTCCAAGCAGTGTCTTGCTGGGTGTTCTGGGAATGCTCTGGAGAGGAAGGGCTGAGGCTTGGTGAGCCTGTGATGTGCCATCCTGGCTACCTCAAAAATGGGGAATATCCTGAGACTGACAGAGTCAACAGGCTGTGTGTTCGAATCCCTTTCTATATCATGCTCTAACTTCTAATTTCCATGGTGATGGAGTGCTCTTGGACAAACTTTTATTTTCTCCCTTGCAGAGTCCTTTTTCAGTTCTTCCTCAAATAGATTTAGGCTTTGCCAATTACTCTGGTATTTAGGAAAAACCACTTGTGACATGAAGCTTAACTGGTTGTGGATGGTTTTATTGCTTTCTACAGAGCTCTGGAGAAATGTCTGTCACCCCAGCTCAAGTGTTCAGCTGAGTGAATGAG